CCCTGCACGGGAACTCACATGAAAAACCTTTTCCAGTTTTCATCTCTAAGTGTTACACTCCCACTATTCCCTACCAAATCCACACTGCAGCCAAACTGCATTCCTGAGAAATTATTCCAAGAATGAAATATCACCATTTTCCTCATAAACCCTGGAAACTTGGACTAATCTTCACACACAGCATAAAGAAGTTAAGCAATGGGAATACATAAATGTAGAATAATTCTTAAGCACGATGGGGGAATAATTATAGCAAACACAGAACAAATACAAAACGAGTGGGGAGGCGTGGAGAGACACCCAGACAGAATGTGCTGAAATAAGGAAAAGGGACCTACAGGATCTATGAGGCTGGATCAGCCATGAGCCACATCTGCTGGCTTTTTAAGTGTTCATTTAAATCAAATTACTAAAAACACAGGAACCAGCAACAGATGAACACAGGGGTCTCTGTCAGCTCCTGGTGTAGGCCAAGCTATGCCCTGCTTGGAAGTAAAATCAGCTTTTGAAAGATTACAACCCCTTGGAAAAATATCTTTGGGTAAAGTTCAGAACAACTTTTCTGGACGTCAGCCAGTAGAATGCCTGTTCAGGAGCTCTGTTCCTCAATCAGTATTTGGAAAGCATTTTATTTTTTGAAAGTGGAAAGATTAATAATGTGACATACTCATTTTAGCATCAAAGTAATGATCTGCAATTAAAAGAAAAAATTGCTCCAAGATCTGTGTGGTAAAGATTTCAACACGAGTCACAAAATACAATGGGAAAATGGGAATGTGGCATACCACACAAGGAATAAAAAATTCAATTACTCACTTCACTTCCTAGTTTGAGAACGTTTTAAACTGTTTAAACATCTCAAATGCTGAAAACTGGAAAGGGTGGGGTGACAGACTCACTTACAAACGCAGAAAATTGTGAAACTTTTACTCATCCTCAGGGGCACCTTACCCCAAAAACAGCCTCTGAAGAGTGAGTATACTACTACACAACAGAGTGACCTGTTACTCACCTGCTGGGTGTAGCATTTCAGTGAACTACATGCTCTTAAAGCAATTATTTAAAAGTGCTGATCATCTGTTAAATAACTCAAACAAATCAGGCTGTGGCTACGTTCTGGGTGGTGTATTTAGCAACTCCATAAATCCCAGAATCCTGCAAGTCACTTCATAAATCTGTGACTCTCCCCATTGTTGCTTCACCAAAGATGAGTGAGCCAGGAATATACAGTATATAAAATGTTTTGGTGATGGAGGTTTTTGGGGTGAGGCCAGCCAGTGCAAAACTTTCTACTTCCTCCTCTCCCCATCTCCCTGTGCTGAGCAGTAACAAGTCATGGTCAAAAATGAACAAGAGTAAAAACGAATGGTCAAGCCAATGTGAAAAAGTAAAATATTGCACTGGAAGCACTGATAAAAGTTTCTATCCCACATCCAGGCATTTCAGCAAGTGCAGCAGAGGACACAAGCTGAGGCTCCTGCACATTGTCTGAGCTTCTGGGAAATAGAGATAGATACTTCAGTCCTTGACAAAAATCCTTACTTCTCTTGATCTGGTAACAGTTCCCAGAAGCAAGCACAGATACAAAAGCTTATCTATCAGAGGACAACTTGAAACAAATACAAATGAGGCTTAAATGAAGGCAAATATCCAAGCTGCAGGGAACACAACGGCTCCTTAATTTCACATTTGGAGAAAAAACAATACTATGTGGACATTCTCCAACATATTTTTAATGTTATTAACAGAAATAGCACCCCAGGCTGTGCTCAAGCTGAAAAAGTGTGAAACTGTTTGCAATGTGAAGTGAAAGGGGGATCAAAAATACCATCTTATTAAATGGCATTTATTTGGTGCTAAGTGAATTATTTATTCAATTGAGAAGTTCACAAAATGACAGGGGGGTAAATGCAAGCGAGGTCACTACTTCATGTCAGTATCAAAGCTGATCCTTAACAGAATTTAAGCACCTGCTTTTTCTTTTATCTCAGCACAAAATGAGATTTCTTCCTTTTTTTTTACACTTCAAAAGCCATGTAACACAACAGAATATATGCCAAGCATGCAAAAACAGAGCATGCCAGCATCTTTCAGCAATCAGCTTTCCCTTGTCATCCATTATGTCAGATTTATCTATTTTTGCTTAATTCTTGCTCCAGCAATACGCATCCTTCCTCTCTCCAGACTATCAAGCTGGTTGGGCTGGAATTCAATACAGCTTCTTAAAATAGTTGAGAAATATTGAAAATATTTGAGGCGATGCCTGCGAATTACAGCCAATTCATCAACTCCTCTTCCAGCTCCTGCTCGACCTCTGCTCCCCCAGACAAGGGGCAATTCTCATTTCTTCACCTCAGAAATTCTACCCAGTGTAAATATCATCTGGAAAACAAATAGCCTTTCTTTTATGGAAGCATTTCACCATGAAAGCTTAGATTCTGTGTTAATTGCAGACCTTACCCTCTGACTCTTACTCGCTTTTCATCCAAGCATTCCTCTGCTGAAAATTAATAGTGAATGCATTGGCTTTAAGTTTGCTTTCTGTTATCACTGCTTTTCCCCTCCAAGTTTCCAGACCCTCTGGACTGGCTTTACAGGACACCAGACCCACCTAAAAGCTCTCCCTGATTCCTTCACTCTGCTCTCCCCATCTCCAACACCTGTAAGACCCTTGAACAGCATCTTTCCCCACTGCTTTATGCACTCATTAAATGAACAGACTCTAACAAGTTCAAATTCTTAAAAAGCCCTGATCAGAAATAAAAAGGCTGAAAGGAAAATGCAGCTCTCATCACTCTATTCCCTCACTGCCTATGGAGCACAGAATTTTCTCAGCCGGCTGCTGAATCAGACGAAGTTTCCACAGTGCACACACACACACACAATCACAAAGCTCCAACACGTCCAGGAGGATTTATTCCATCACAAAGTCACTACCATTGCTCCAGCACAAATGACATCACTTAGGAACTCAACCTTATCTCCTGAGAGCTCCCAGCTCCCTCCTCTCCCGCAGCGACCGGAGCAACAAAGAACCGGGTTTGTGCAACAAGGAGGAAGAAAGTATTGCTGCAAAAAGTTTTCCACAAAAACTTGTATTTTCTTGAGAATGTGACTAGAGAAAAATAAAGGACTGTAATAAGCAGCGAGTAGAACAAATTCTGGTTGAACTAATCAACCTGCACCTGTGATTTATCCTAAACTTGTACCTAGTGCTACCAGGGGAGGGTGAGAGGTGTCGGCGAGCCCTCGCAGGTGCTGGTGGGGAGCTCCACACGCTGCACAACCAAAACCATCTCAGCACTTTGCTGCACGAGTGCACTGAGAACTGGAGTCCAGCTCTGCAGTTTTTTTCCTTCTTCTTCTTCCTCTTCAGACACTTGAACATTGGTTGGGGAATAAAAACGACGGATGATTTATTGGCGATACCTGTTCCCTGCCCGCGGCAAAGACGGGCTTCGAGGTCCCCTCCAGCCCAAACCAGCCCGCGAGTCTCTTGCAAAAAGACACTTTTCTTGGGAAAGAATCACACAAAGGATGTGCTCGCACTGCGACCGCAATCCCCCCTTCCCCCTGACGGCACTCCAGTCGCGATGGCTGACGCACTATCGCGATCCCGGGCCGTGTGCGCGGAACCCGGGGACAGCTAACGAGGGCGCCGGGGCTACCGGGGGCCCTGGGAGCGGGGGAGACCGCGGCGAGGCGGGGCGGGAGGCAGTGTCGCGACAGGCGGCGGGTGTCGCGACAGGGGGCGGGTGGGCACACCGGCGATGCCTCAGCGGGCGGGGGGAGGGGACACCCGGGAAGGACAATGGTGGGGGGGGGTATGAACCGCGGCGGTCCCGCCGCGCTGACACTGGGGGAGTATGAGGGAGTGACACAGTGGGGACATGGGGGCGACGCTGGTGGACATGGGAGAGGTACGAGGGAAAGACACAGTGGGGACACTGGGGGATACTGGGGGGGGTATGAGGGAGGGACACAGTGGGGACACACTGAGGGACATGGAGGGGTATGAGGGAGGGACATACTGGGGGACGGGGGCGACATTGTGGGGTATGAGGGAGGCACACGGCAGGGACACACTGGGAGACATGGCGGGGACATGAGGGAGGAAGATGGCAGGGACACACTGGGGGATACTGGGGAGGGTGGCACACGGCAGGGACACACTGGGGGACACTGGGAGGGGTATGAGGGAGGGACACACTGGGGGACAGGGGGGACATTGTGAGGTATGAGGGAGGAACATGGCAGGGACACACTGGGGGACATGGGGGACACATGAAAGGAGGGCATGGGGGGACACAGGGAGAATGTGAAGGGGACATGTTGGGAACAGGGAGGGACACGGCAGGGACATAAGCAGGATATGGGGTCATGGCAGGAGCATGAAGGGAGAACATGAAGGAACACGGCAGGGGGACAGGGAGATGCAGGTGGGTCAGGATGGGGACACAGCTCTGCCACAGCTCCGGTGCTGCCGTGGTCTCGACAGACACCTTCCCCCACAGCTGGGGTCAGTCCTTCGGGAAGTTTTTGCCCACAGGGAAGTGATGATTTGTACCCCTGCGATGGGATAATTAACCTAATTCTCAAAGCTCGTTGAGGAGCTGCAGGTCAGCAAGGTGACACTTCACCCCCTCCCATGCCAAGAGCATTTCCACTGTCCCTGCTGTTGCTGTGGGCACTCGGCTCCATCCCTGGAAGCAGCCTGGGATGAAGCTCTGGGGCAGCACAGGGTGACCCTGACCCCTCCCCTGACACAGCCACACAGAGGGGACACCTTCCCCCTGTACCCCTCCAACCCTGCCTGCCCAGCTTTCCCCCCGACAAGGCGCAGTCTGCAGAAATCACAGCTCAGAAAATGGGATCTAAGCTCAGCTGGGAAGGTGGAATGACATGAAAGTGCCCTGGTTTGAGCTGGAATAAAACAGAGGGAAGGTGGTGGCTGTGAGGTCAGGCTGCCAGGGAGGAATAAAGGAGAGAACAATCACTTGTGCTGGGACCTCATTTTATTGCAAGGGAAATACAAAAGTTGGAAAGCAGCGTTCAAGGACCACAGCACCCCCTGCTCCTGGGAAACAAGGAAGGACACTGTGCAGGTTTCCCAACCCAGTTTTCAGTTATCTCACACTCCAGAATTCTTCAGCAGAAGGGCTAAACATCTCTCTCACAGTGCACCAGAGAGGGCTGAGCAGGTTGGGTTCCAGACCCTTCCCCATCTCTTCACTGCTGGGGTTTTGTTCCCTCAGGGATGTTGATTTACAACTGCACATGGAGATTTACCTGGACTTCGGGCAGGAAGGAATCCAGGGCTCCAAACACCTGACAAAGAGACAAAACAAGCCCCAAACACCAGGCCCAGGCACACACACACGTGGTGCCAGGCTCCAGCACGCCAAGGGCTCTGCAGAGCCAGCCCTGCTCCTTCAGCCTCACCTGTGCCAGGTGCTCTCTGTTACACCTGAGCTGCAGAACCTGCTGCTCTTCCCACTTTGGGGTTTTCTTTAGCTGCAACAGCTGCAGTGTTTGTACCTGTGACCCTGGTGCAAAGAGTGAGGACTTGGAGGTAAGTGATGCAATAAACTACTTGAATTCCTAAAGAGTGGGTCCATGCTGGTTTGGCACGACAGACAAGCTAGTCAGGCATTACAGATGTTCCAGCTGCCAGCAAACCCCTAAAACCAACTCCCTGCACCCACCAGCTTCAACAGGGCAGGGAGAAAAGTCAACATGAGACCATCAGCTGGGCTGGGGTGGCCTTGTCCTCCTGTGTGACCACGATTCAGCCTTCAGAAGAGATTACAAACATGCTGATAATCCTTCACTGCCACCCTTTGTTTGCTATAAGGGCAGGAGATGCTCCTGAACTCCCACGTACAAACACCTGAGAGCAAGGACATGAACACAGCCCAAAAGAAGTGGGTGGCAGCTCTGGAAATGCAGTACCAGAATCATGGGTGCAGCTGATTCTCCAGTGTCTGTGCCCAGGCCAGATGCCATAGAAGGCCTGGAGATTTTATTTCAGTTTGGGCCATTCCCCCAAAGAATAATATATTCCACTTCAGGCCACTGTAGTAACTCCATCATCCTCTATTTCTGGATTCAACAAAGGTGCCAGGATACCCCCAGGACTGGTTTCTCCACATGATCAGAGAGTTCAAGGGCTGTTAAAACACACCAAGTGCTCAACCCTTCACCTCCACCTGGAGCTTCAGGCGGACCTCACAAAGGAAAGCGTTCATCAGGTCCTGGCCAGCCTCCCGAGCAATCCTGCTGATGACCTTTCCTCCTCTTCCAATCAACATCCTCTGTGTTAAAACCCAGAGAGAACATCATCAAACCCACCTTTACACTGCCCAGGAGAAAGGTGCAGCCACAGAAGTAATGACAGAAATTCCATCATTAAACTGTGAGGCAACAGAGTTGCCAGTACTGGGTACAGGGCCCTTCCCAAAAGAGAGGGAGAGGGGAGCACAGCAAGGACGGACTTGGGGAACCTCCCTTCACCCTCCCCAGCATCCCATCTTTCTTTCTTCACTCACCTTATGAGACTCCCTTGGCACCAGGAGGCTCTGCACGATGAGGAGCTCCCCACACTCTCCTTCCTCCCACACGTCCGTCACCTGCGGCAGCAAGTGAGCACTCAGCAATCCTGGAAAACCCTCAGGAACCCCCAGCACCACCCCTTGGACACACCAGCACACAAGGCAGGCTCCTCCACACACAGAAAGGGTCTTAGCACACCTGAGTGCAACTACTGAGTCACCCCACAGGGCCTGGCAGATCCCAGAGAGCCAAAGGTTCTCATCACGCAGCCCAAAATTCCCAATAAAACAGTTCATGGACAATTCTTGCCTGGGCACACTTCCCACCTGAGTCACCCCATAAGGCACTTCCAGGGGCAGGTACTCCAGGACCTTCTCCCTGATGATATTATCACAGATCTCTTGAGGTGACTGGCTGGTCAGGACGTCGCTGTGGAATTCCCAAGGGCCTGGCTTGGCTTGCATCAGGAGATACCTCTGTGGGCACAACACACCCCATCAGTGCCACGTGTCACCCACACAGTGCCACCACCCCGGTGCTCCTCCTGCACAGAGGGCACTGCTGCTGGCCTGGCACCAGGGCAGTGGTTTGGGCAGGGACAGGAGAAAAGGAAGCTCTGACACCCCTCCCTAGGGCTGTGTGTATCCCACAGAAGCCCTGGAGCTGAGAGACAGCAGTGGGTGGATTCCTTGTTGTGAACAAGCTGCTGTTTGGAGAGCCCCAGGTGAGAATTCTGTACAGAAAACTCAGCAGATGCAGCAGGGACACATCCCACGGTGACATGTGACACACCCCCCATGGCAGGCCAGGAACAGAAGCTGAGGCTCTGTCCCACCCCAGTCTCCAGGTGTGACACAAGCTCAGGCTGGAGTTACCTTGAGTGTATCCACCTCCTCCCCATGGAGAGCTGCCAGCATGAAGATCTCCTGGAAGTGTGGCCAGCCTTTCATATCTTTTAGATCCTTGTGTCCATGGTGCTGTGGCCCTTCCCCTGTGCCAGCACCCCCAACATCACTGCTCTTGTCCAAAGCAGAGCCTTCCTGGGCCTGATTCTTTTCCTGCCCAAAGGGAGACCCTGGGACCTTGCTTTCAGGTGGAGAAGCCTCAGTGATATGAAGGGGAAACTTTGCTGAAGAACGGGAATCCTGTTTAAGTGGAGAAGATTTCACTTCCAGTTTTTTTCCATTTACAATTCCCTCTGTCAGATCAGTTGCTATTTCCAGCAGGAGAAACTTCTTCTTTAGCATATCCACCTGAAGGCAGAGAGAGGTGTCAGGATTTGTCCTGAATGAGGTGGGCAGCTGGGCCCTGGATCTGAAGGAGCCAGAGGAAACCAGCCAGGGAAGCAGCTGCTGCAGGACAGGACAGTTTTGTGACCAGAAGCCAGACCAGAGTTTGCCCAGACCCTGAGAACCTGCCAGCCCTGCTGAATTCTCCCTGGCTGACCTGGCTCCTCTTCCCAGATGGATTTAAACCCCAGACAGCAGCAGCACAGCTTCAGGGGTGCTTGCAATGGGTACACACACACCCCTCAATATTCTGGAGCAGAGGGGGGGGAGCCTGTGTCCTTTAACACCCCAGGGACCCAAAAATTCATCAGTGCTGATGGCAGGGGGTGCCTGAAGAAGGCAGGAAGAACGAGCAGGATTTACCTTGTTCAGGACCAGCACACTGGGAATGTGGGGGAACTGAGACAGGCACTTGAGCACCTCCCTGCTCAGAGAGTTCCTTGTCCAGTGATCTGACACGTCCACCAGAACCAGGACTGCCAGGAAAGAGGGAGGGAAAAAGGATGAATCCACATTTTCCAGAATGTTCACTTGCAGCTTTAGAGTCTATGGTCACTCCCCTCCTCAGCAGAGGCACAAAAAGAAGGATTTCATTGAAAACACTAAAAATGCAGCTTGCCCATGTCACCCTAATGACATCACACGTGCTAAATCTCAACATCCAAGCCAAATTATTAACCCAAAGTGCCTCCCCTTGGCACCAGGCAGTTCTTATCCCCTCCTCAGCTCAATATTCCAGATCACCCTAATGACATCACACGTGCTAAATCTCAACATCCAAGCCAAATTATTAACCCAAAGTGCCTCCCCTTGGCACCAGGCAGTTCTTATCCTCAGCTCAATATTCCAGATATTTTCTCTGCCCTTCCTTCCTTGTTCACATTCCCTGGGCTGCCTGTGCTGCCAGCAAACACCCAGATACCACAGCTGGGAACTTGTGTGGCAGAAAAGGATCTGTTTGATCCAAAAAAAGAGTTGAAAACCCACCTAAATCTGCATGTTTCATGCTGTCCCATGGGTCTGTCAGCATGGCTTCATCTAAATTATGCCTGAAGGACAAATACAAATGAGTAAACCAAGCAGACTTCATTATAATTGTGTTCCTCCCTCTCAAACTAGAAGGAAACCATTGTTTGCCCTCATTCCAGCTGCTTTAGGGGTTGTGACATCCCTTGCCATGTGCAGATACACAGAACCACACACAAAAAGGCTCAAGGGACATCACAGGCTCTGTGTGCTACTGAAATTGCAACAAAAAAAAATATTGGAAAGTAAAATAAGACTAAAAATATGCATTCATCCCACGACTGTTTTACAGACTTTGCACAGTGAAAATCACATCCCTGTTTTATCAACTCTTGCTAGGCAGCACACAGCCCCCTCCCCACCCCAGTGCTGGTACCTTTTGGCTTTTAAGGGATTTGTGAGGCCAGGTGTGTCCAGAATGATCTAGGAAAAGCAAAAACAAACGTTTCAAGTTTGCCAGCAGTGAGAGGTGAGGGGAAAAACCCCATGTTTGTGCAACGAGAGGTGATCCCAGAGGACACAGATGAGCAAATGCTGCTCTTGGGCTCCAGGACTCACCAGCTGCGTGTCCTGGTGGGTGATGACACCCCGGGCCTTGCAGCGGGTGGTGTGCACCTTCTTGGAGACTGGGAAAACCTGCAGGAAACCAACTAAACGTGTAACACAGCCAGGACACGCCAACAAACCACGGAAACAGCCTGAGCTGCCCCCCAGCTTCACCTTCCTGCCCAGGAGCTGGTTGCAGAGCGTGGATTTCCCGGCGTTGGGAGCGCCGATGATGGCGATCCTCAGCGCCCTGGGCTGCTGCGGCTGGTCGGGCCGATTCTCCAACAGGCGTTTCTGCTCCTCTGCCAGGGAAAGGAGGAGCTGGGATGCTGCCAAACCCTCCGCCGGTCAGGACAGCCCTGGGGCGGGGCGGCAGCCGGCGCCACTCACCTTTGTCGGTGGCCACGGGCGGCGGGTGCCGGCCCAGAGCAGCGGGCGGGGCCTCGGCGGGGATGCCCAGGAGGCTGCCCAGAGCCGAGCTGCTCCCGCTCCAGCGGCCGGGAACGCTCAGGATCCCGCCCAGAGCCGAGCTGCTCCCGCTCCGGCGGCTCCCCGCGAGGCGAGCTGGAAGAAAACACCGAATATACCGAGAAGGTCCCTAAAACGCACCAAGCTCGCCTGCGCCCCCCCCACCTCCACACGCAGCGTCCGGGCAGCGCTAACCCCATAACAAGGCCTCTCGGCCGGCCCCGCCGTCCCGCCCGCCACCTCCCGCATCCAGCAGCCCCCAGAGTACCCCTGCGGCCCCAGCGCACCTGCTCGTAGCCGGAGCGGCCCCGCCGCGGCGGCACCGGCGGCCCAGAGCGTGGCCCGGGCGGCGGCCGCGGCCATGGGAGCCGCCATGTTGGCGCGCCGCGGGGCACGCCGGGAAGGCGAGCGGTGCCCGCTCCCATTGGCGAACAGCTCGGGGACATGGAGAGCGCGAGAGCGGGGCCAGAGCGCCGCTGTGCCGCGGGGGATTGTGGGATGGAAACGGCCGAGGGACCGGCGGCGCAGGGCGGGGCGGGGACGCGGGAGCGCCCCCTGCCGGCGCCACCGCGAGGTGCAGGTGGCGGCAGCGCGGGGTCACCAGTGTCACCGGGGTCACCAATGTCACCAGCTCTCACCGGGTCACCAATGTCTCCAGTGCCCCCAGTGTCACCAGCGCTCCCGGTGTCACCGGGGTCAGCAGTGTCACCAGTGGCCCCCCAGTGTCACTAGTGCCCCTCCCGTGTCACTAGTGCTCCCAATGTCACTGGTGTCACCAGTGTCCCCCCAGTGCCCCCCCAGTGTCACCAGCACTCCCGGTGTCACCAGTGCCCCACCGGTGTCACCAGTTGCCCCCCAGTGTCCCCAGTGCCCAGTTCCCCAGTCCCGGAGCCCCCGGGGGATGTGGTGAGGAAGAAGAGCCGGAGCCACGATTCTGTAACTCTTTTTATTGTCCCGTGCCCGTCCCCAGGGCTCCATCACTGTGTCCTTGCCATCCCATCCCGTGCCATTCTGTGCCATCCTGTTCCATTCTGTGTCATTCCCGCACCATTCCCATCCCATCCCGTGCCATTCCTGTGCCATTCTGTGCCATTCCCATCCCATCCTGTGCCATTTCCATTCCTTTCCCGTCCCATCTCGTGCCATTCCCATCCTATTCCATGCTATCCCATGCCATCCTGTCCCATCCTGTCCCCCTCCATGCCATTCCCATGCCATTCCTGCCTCATCCCGTGCCATTCCTGTCCCGTTCCATGCTATCCCGTCCCATCCCGTCCCCCCCGTGCCATTCCCATGCCATTCCTGTCCCATTCCCGTCCCCTCCCGTGCCGTTCCGTGCCGTGCCGCGCTGCCGGCCGTCGGCAGAACCATTACCATTACTAAACTCAGTAATGGTAACGGTTTCCCCGCCGGCCGCGGGTCCCGGCCGTGCCCGGCTCCTGTTGCAGCCCGTGTGGCCCGTCCCGGTGCCCGGCCGTGTCGGAGGTCGGTGCGGCCCGGGGAGTACATCATCTATACTGTAGTGTCTCATAGCCAACTTACAGTATACGATGATATCCTGCCCGGGACAGCAGAGCCTGCAGGGACAGACAGACAGACAGACGGCGTGGTCAGGAGCACAGCGTGTTGCCACCCCGGTGTCACCTCGCCCACCCCTGTCCCCTCGCTCCTGTCCCCTCCTGAGGCTCCTGGAGGCCTCCCTGCCCCAGCAGCTCCCCACCCGCTCCTTATCCCCCCACAGAGCAGGACAGAGGCTCTCAGCGCTTCCCTACCCAGGTGTCCCCCCTAATCCCTCCTTGTCACCCCGTTCCCACCACCCTGGAGAGGAGCAGAGGTTCCCAATTGTCCCCTCACCCCAAGACCCCCCTATGCCATCCTTGCCCCCCAGTCCTGCTGCCCCAGAGTGGGATTGAGGGCTCCAAATTTCCTCCCCGCCACAGCACCCCCCTAACCCCTCCTTTTATCCCAGATCCCCATCTCAGAGCAGCACAGGGGTTCCCAAAACCCCACATTTATCCCCCCCTCCCTGAGCAGGTTCTGGGGTTCCCAAAATCCCACCTTTATCCCCCCCTCCCTGAGCAGGTTTTGGGGATCCCAAACCCCACCTTTGTCCCCCAGTCCCACAATCCCTGAGCAGGTTTTGGGGGTCCCAAACCCCACCTTTGTCCCCCAGTCCCACAATCCCTGAGCAGGACAGCAGCTCCCAGGTGGTGGCACCTACCTGTGGGGGTGGCACTGGGGCTCTGTGGGGTGCTGGATCTGCACCCTCCTTATAAAACCTGCTCTGCCTCATCTGCATATCTCACATCTGCACTGCACAGCTGGACGGGCCCTTAACCCCTTCATGCCCGGGGGGCACCGCCCCGAGCAGCTCCCCCCACCCAGCCTGGCACTGTCCAAGGGGGGATTTGGGGATGTGGGGATTGCAAGGGGCCACTCCCTGCGTCTTCCACTCCAGAGTGGCCCCACAAATGCCCCATCCTCCTGTGGCCACCAGGATTATCCATTCCCATGCGTGTGGGGACTTTGTCCCCCAGTCCCACAATCCCTGAGCAGGTTTTGGGGGTCCCAAACCCCACCTTTGTCCCCCAGTCCCACAATCCCTGAGCAGGTTTTGGGGGTCCCAAACCCCACCTTTGTCCCCCAGTCCCACAATCCCTGAGCAGGTTTTGGGGGTCCCAAACCCCACCTTTGTCCCCCAGTCCCACAATCCCTGAGCAGGTTTTGGGGGTCCCAAACCCCACCTTTGTCCCCCAGTCCCACAATCCCTGAGCAGGTTTTGGGGGTCCCAAACCCCACCTTTGTCCCCCAGTCCCACAATCCCTGAGCAGGTTTTGGGGGTCCCAAACCCCACCTTTGTCCCCCAGTCCCACAATCCCTGAGCAGGTTTTGGGGGTCCCAAACCCCACCTTTGTCCCCCAGTCCCACAATCCCTGAGCAGGTTTTGGGGGTCCCAAACCCCACCTTTGTCCCCCAGTCCCACAATCCCTGAGCAGGTTTTGGGGGTCCCAAACCCCACCTTTGTCCCCCAGTCCCACAATCCCTGAGCAGGTTTTGGGGGTCCCAAACCCCACCTTTGTCCCCCAGTCCCACAATCCCTGAGCAGGTTTTGGGGGTCCCAAACCCCACCTTTGTCCCCCAGTCCCACAATCCCTGAGCAGGTTTTGGGGGTCCCAAACCCCACCTTTGTCCCCCAGTCCCACAATCCCTGAGCAGGTTTTGGGGGTCCCAAACCCCACCTTTGTCCCCCAGTCCCACAATCCCTGAGCAGGTTTTGGGGGTCCCAAACCCCACCTTTGTCCCCCAGTCCCACAATCCCTGAGCAGGTTTTGGGGGTCCCAAACCCCACCTTTGTCCCCCAGTCCCACAATCCCTGAGCAGGTTTTGGGGGTCCCAAACCCCACCTTTGTCCCCCAGTCCCACAATCCCTGAGCAGGTTTTGGGGGTCCCAAACCCCACCTTTGTCCCCCAGTCCCACAATCCCTGAGCAGGTTTTGGGGATCCCAAACCCCACCTTTGTCCCCCAGTCCCACAATCCCTGAGCAGGTTTTGGGGGTCCCAAACCCCACCTTTGTCCCCCAGTCCCACAATCCCTGAGCAGGTTTTGGGGTTCCCAAACCCCACCTTTGTCCCCAGTCCCACAATCCCTGAGCAGAACAGCAGCTCCCAGGTGGTGGCACCTACCTGTGGGGGTGGCACTGGGGCTTTGTGGGGTGCTGGATCTGCACCCTCCTTATAAAACCTGCTCTGCCTCATCTGCATATCTCACATCTGCACTGCACAGCTGGACGGGCCCTTAACCCCTTCATGCCCGGGGGGCACCGCCCCGAGCAGCTCCCCCCACCCAGCCTGGCACTGTCCAAGGGGGGATTTGGGGATGTGGGGATTGCCACTTCCACTCCAGAGTGGCCCCACAAATGCCCCATCCTCCTGTGGCCACCAGGATTATCCATTCCCATGCGTGTGGGGACCCTGAACTGGGAGCTCCCCACTGCAAACTGGTTCCCAGTTGCTGGACAGTGGTGTGGGACAGGGAGGGGTGGCAGCCCGTGGGGAGGGGCCCAGCAGGGACACAGGGACATCTGAGAGTGGGGGTCACCCTACACAGGCACCCTCAGGTGAGGCACAGGGCACACGTGGGTGCAGGGAGCCTGTGTCCCCTGGAGGGGTGGCCTCTGCAGTGCTGTGTCCCCGGCCATTTTTGCTCCCCTGAGGGACATGACCCCCAGCAGCGTCTCCCAAAAAAAAGAGATTTGCCCTCCTGCCTTTAGGGACACCCTGGAAACACATTCCCCCTCCCAGGGGGACGTGACCCTTTGAGGGATGTATCCCCCAGTTAGGTGTCCCCAAAGGACACGCTCCCCTGGCCATCTGTGTCCCCAGGAGGGATGTAACCCCCAGCTGTGTCCCCCCAAGGGCCCCTCCTGACCACGTGTGTCCCCAAGAGGGCTGTGTCCCCTCCTTGCACATGACCCTGGTCATACTTGTCCCCTGACCACGCGTGTCCCCAAACGGCTCCACCCCTGACCATGAGTGTCACCTGCCTGCCCATGACCCTGGTCATTTGTGTCCCCCAGCCCTGTCAGTCCCCACAGGGCCACATCCTGCAGCTGGCTGTCCCATTGTGCCGTTGTTTGCGCCAGGACAGGCTGGCATTCCTGGAAATCGGCTGGGGGGAGGTGATAATCCCCTGCGGGCTCGGCCCGATAAGCAGCAGCCTCCGGCTATCAGGGACCCTGCCCTGCCACACAAGGTGGCCCTGGACCCGCTGTCACCTCTGGGCCACAGCCACAGGGGCAGCATGGCCCACACTCCCCTGGCTGGGCAGACCCTGGCAGGAGGGGGCACAGGGTCCAGCCCTGGTATGAGCCTGTCCCGGGGCATGAGGCTCTGGGGACCTGGGGACCTGTTTTGGTCCCTCTTGTGACCCAGAGGTGTCCTGGAGCCTGCAGTGTTCCCCAAACTGTGGCACAGGCGCCCCAGCGTGCACAGCAGTGACACAGGCAGTGTCCCTGAGTCCCCCAAGCCCAGCCAGCTCCAGGTGAGTCCCAGGGGATTCTCCCCATGGATTCTCCCCACGGATTCTCCCCATGGGATTACCTCCATGCTGGTGCCTGCCAGTCCTGCTCCCTGCTCAGCACTCGAGGGCAGCCCTGCCCCGTGGCCTTGTACCCCACAGTGGCAGAAGGGGCCTGAGTGTCCCCCAGGCTGGTACCACAGCTGGTGTGGGACCCCCAGGTGCCACAGAGACCCCCGAGTGCCACAGCCCTCCCGGCAGCCGTGCTGCCCCAGGACAGCGTGGCTGGCTCCAGATAAGGAGGCTCTGGAAGCTGCAGAGCTGTCCCCACCCTGTCTATCTGCAGGGCCACGCTGCAGGACACATAGGACAGGGCCTGTTGTCCTGCCCTGGCTTTGGGGGACATGGAGAGTCAGAGGGCATGAAGAAACCATTTTCCCCAGGGAGGGCAGTGCAGCAAAGCCCCCCATGCCAGCCCCATGCTGGCTGTCACTGGTCCTGCTTGCAGGGTGACCCTGAGTAGGACAGGTACCCCCAGACCCATCCTGCTGTCCCCCAGAGCAGGGAGAGCCATGTGGGGCAGGGACAGAGCTCCAGTGGCAGGGCAGGGGGACATGAGCTGCTGCCACCAGCCTGGCTGCTGTGACACGGCACTGTCAGCACCTGTCAGCCCTTCTCCAGACCCCGGGGTGCCACTCTTTGGGGTGCCCCTGCAGAGGTCACCCCCTGGGGTCACACGGGCCATGCAGTGGGGCTCACTCCTGGCTCCACACTCATCCCTGGGGGAGCACAACAAGGCTCTCCCCAGGGAGGGCAGGAACACAGAGCCCATGGGGACACGGTGACCATGGGGAAGCCACCAGCTCCCAGGAGCCTTGGAGGAGCAGCGTGAGCTGGGACCTCACCTCCCCGCACTCCTTGTCCCTCCATCCCCCGGGCCAGCAGCCCCCGGCCAGCCCACGCCACCCAGGGGAGCCGGGGCAGGACAGACGGACAGAGGGACGAGCCAGAGCCCGGCAGGAGGTGACAAGGGTTTATTATCTCACAGCAGCGGGTGGCGGGCACATGCAGATAGGGCCCGGCCCGGCCCGGCACGCCTGCCCGGCCCGCGCCAGATCCGCGCCCGCCGCCCGCGGGCAGCGCAGGCCGGGCCCGATAACGCCGACAGCGCCGCTGCCCCGCCCCGCGGCACGGAGCGGCCAGAACCCGCCGGGGGTCACTCCTGGCAAAGGACAGCCCGGAGGGACCTGCAGCTGCCCCACGGCACGGGGTGGGGGCACTGAGCCGGGGGGGCAGGACGCTCCCAGCAGTGCCAGGCTGGCTTCACTCACTGAACTGTGCCAGCCGCACTGAACACAGGCACTGAGACACGCTGGGGAGGGCAGGGCCAGCACAGGGCTCTGGTGGCACTCTGGGGAGGACGGGCACACACGGGGGACAATCTCCTTCACATTGTCACAAGGCAGCAAAGCCACTGGCCGTAAGAGGCAGGGGGAGGGAGGGAGGGAGGCAGGGGCAGCTGTACAGGCTGTGCTGGAGGGGCCTGTCCCACCCCAGTGTCCTGCTGGTCCCCCACCCACCTCTGACCACCACTCTGCTTGAGTAGTTGTGGGGTCAGAAGTGTCACAGCACCTGGGGACAGCAGCCACAGTGGCTGCACTGCCCTCTCAGGGGATGGGTGGCTTTGGCACAGCACTACTTTTTGGTATTCGTGGGGGTGAGATCTCACCAGGGCTGAGGTGAGCTCCTTCTGTCCCCTGGAGCTCCCCCTGCTTCAGATCCTATGAGGAAAATTCCCCAAGCATGGGAGAAGGCAGCACCCACTGCTAGTGTTGGATTGTCACCTTCCTGGGGGGTTGACTGCCACCCAGCCAGCCTGGGCAGGGCTGCTGGCACTGTGGGGGCCCTGGGGGTGAGACACAGGGACAGGGAGAGCCAGCCACAGGGACAGCTGTGGGCAGAGGCAGGGCTGGGACAGGGCCCAGGAGGGTCACTGAGAGAGGGCAAGGAGCCCAGGGGAGGGGGGTCCTGCTTCTCTTCCTAAAACTCCCCATCCCAAGCCTCTGCTCCAAGTCCCAGGCGTTCACCCCAGGGCAGAGAACAGCAAGGCACAGGGACTGCAACACCAGACAAGCTGCCAGTCGTAACTGGGGATGGGATTGGCCTGAGACAACACAAAGTTAATTAGAAAATAAATCCTCTCTCAGCATTGGAATAAAAAGAGCAGCAGACAGGACATGCATCTTTCTGGCCCTACAAAATAAGGCACCAGTTACAAACCAAACTCGGATTGTCTTTGATATAAAAGGAATTCCCATGTGTTGAAGGCAGTTGATGTCTGAGTGCATAACAGGGAGTGATCTTCACTAGCTTTGGGCTGGCCAACCTCATTCCTTGGCCTCGGTGGCTCTCTGGAACAGAGGAAGCTGCAGGAGGGGAAGAGAGAAGCTGTTAGGGTTGCAGGAGGGGGAGGCAGGGCACTGCCTGCACTCTGCGGTGGTCAGGGCTGGGGAAGGAGAGGCTCCCTGGGAGGCTGAAAGCTTCCAGGCAAGTCCCTGTGCCCTAAGAGCAGCTGGCATTGCCAGCTGCCAGTGCCCAGCTCACCTTTGTGAGATCCACGCCAGTGATGGCACGCACGGAGTTGGGGATCTCAGCCAGGAGACGGTTCACATCAGACATGGTGCTGCCTTTCTCTCCGCTGAGAATAACGATCTCATCCACTTTGGAGAGGGGAGCAGACACTTTGGCAGCGATCTGGGGAAGCAGGGAGAGCAGAGAGTCAAGGAACTGCTCAGCAGCTCACTGAAAGGTCCCTACAGGGCCTCGCTGTGCCCCCAGGAGACGTAGCCCAGTCTGGGAGCCCCCCCAGCCCACCTGGAGCAGGGGAAGCTGCCCCCTCCTCACCTCAGGCAGTGCATCCAGCACTAGAGCCAGCTGGGCAGCTTCTCCGTACTTCTGGAGCGCTTCTGCTTTCAGCTTCAGCCCCTCAGCCTCCGCCATCCCCACGGCCTCGATGACAAAAGCCTCGGCCTCGCCGATCTTGCGGATCTTTTCTGCCTCCGCCTGAGCCAGGAGGATTTGCTTCACCCTGGCAAGGGAAACGCAGCCCTGCAGCAGCCCGGATCCCCGCAGGGAGCCCAGGAGCTGGGGCTCAGGGCAGCACTGTGCTCCCTCCTGCCCAGCCAGGGCAGGGGCTCACTCACTTCTCGCCCTCGGCGATCTGCTGGATGCGATAGGCCTCGGCCTCGGCCGGCTGCTTCACGGTGGCCGTCAGCTCCTTCTCCATCCGCAGCACCTCCTTCTCCTCCACCTCGATCTGCTTCTTGCGCTCCACCACCTCGATCTCGATCTCCTCCTGACGGATCTTCTGCTGCTCCCGGGCGCTCTGGAGCTCGTAGGCCAGCTGGGCCTCTGCAGTCTGCACATGGGGGAGAGGAGAAGAAGGGCCAGGGCCATGAACTTGGGTACACAGACATAAGGACCCCAAAATCAGACACGACTCCTGCTATTGAACCTTTTCCCAGTGGTGACATCCCAGTCCTCAGTGCTGCTCTTCCCACAACACTTAAGCCAAATCAGCTCCAGGTTCAACCCTCCCCATCCTTTCCTCTTCTCCAAGTCCCACTGAATTGTTGCAAACAAGAGAGGAATTTGCTGCAAGGAGCTCACAGTGACACACAGACCTGGGTTTTATATCTCCAGCTCTCCTAACAGATGCAGGAGGAGGAAGCTGACAAGTCCCAGAGCCACCAACACCATCACAGACCCTCCCGGGAACAGCAGTGGGCTGTGGGATACTCTCACCTTAATGTTGACCTCCTCAGTGAAGGAAGCTTTCTGCAACTCAAAAGCCCGTTTGGAATCTGCTATTTTGGTATCTGCCATGAACTTGACATCCAGCATTTCTTTCTTGCACTCTGCCTCCTGCAGAGAGGGAACAGAGAGCAGAGCTTCAGGGCATGCAGTTGGAGCAGAAAAGCTGCTCCAGGGAAGCCCAGCACTTCTCCAGACTCACCCGAATGCCAGCATCCCGCTCGGCTTCTGCCACTCCAATGTCTGCATCCCTTTGGACAGCTGCAATCTGAGTCTTCCCCAGGGAGCTCAGGTAATCCACTTTATCATAGACATCCTGGGGAGGGAAGATAAGTCATAACCACTTCAAATGAGTGACTCCATCTTGCTCCCTTTCCCATTGAAGCTCAGTGTGGTCAGGCCAGGGTCAGAACGCGTCACATCAGCTGCTCCAAACAGACAGGGAGGGCAGGGAGAAGGAGGCCATCCCGACATCCTCCCTCACTCCCAGGAGGCTGGGTTATCAGCCAGCTCTCTCCACGAGCCTGTTTACAGAGGCAGCTACCCGGGTGCTCTTGGCCCAGCTGCCAGGATACAGGACATGCTGTGGCGGCTGTCATGGAAACTCCTGCAGGGCTGGGACAGGCTGTCAGCCTGAGCCTTCCAGCTGCAGCAGCGGGGTCAGGGCCAGGCTCTCTCCTGCTGCTCCTGCAGCTCTGCCTAGAGCAGTGCCCAACATCTGGGAGTACCTTGATGGTGAAACTCAGGATCTCAATCCCCATGCGACCCACGTCAGGAGCTGCCACCTCCCGCACCAGCTTGGCAAACTGGTCCCTGTCCTGGTAGATCTGCTCCACTGTCAGGGTACCTGCAGAGGGGAGGAAGGTGAAGCACTTTATCTGGAACAGGTAACACACAAAAATGTGGGACTAAGCTCAGCAACATCCTTGTTGTCCCTAATCTCTTCAGGCCTGGGCACAAGGGCGTAATCCTCTGCCACAGCAGTGGCAGAACATCTCAGTGTCACAAGTGCAACCACCACCCACATGTGCTACCTGTGGCCCTTGGGGACTCAGACATCTCTCGCTGCAGGCACCGAAAACTCATTTATCACAAGGCCCAGCCACGCAGAGAGAGCTGCTGGAGGGGAGATGCCACCTCTGCAGGCAGCACAGGAAGGTTCCGTGTGGCTGCATGGTGGCAGCGATACTGCTGGGACCAGCCAGCTGAGAAGGGACAAAGCCACTCGAGATGCCTCAGGGGATGAGCCCCTCCATACCCAGGATGGAGCGCAGGTGTCCCTCCAGAGTCTGCAGGACCACGTTCTTCACCTCCTGCACGTTCTTCCCCAAGAACTGCTCACAGGCCACAGCCAGGAGCTCCTTCTCGGTCATTATCTTCACCTAGAGACAGGAGACAGAACCAGAGGGACTGAAGGTGCCTGTCCAGGAGGTGCAGGCACCCAGCAGCAGCAGCAGCAGCAGAAGCAGCAGTACCACCAGCAGGCTGCCAGGCCCCCGTGCTACCAATGCTCCAAGGGACCATGCTGAGCTGTCCCCATGCTGAGCCAGGCCACTGGACCAGCCAGAGAGCCCCTGCTCTCTGTGCTGCTGCCCAAACCCAACAGCAGCTCAGCGTGGAGCTGCTCAGCAGTGGGGACAGAGCCTGGCCCTACCAGACCCAACTTACAGAAACCCTACAAAAACCCCTGAAACAGCAGTTCAGCCACTGCACCAACACCAGAGTCAGAAGGAAGCAGGGTATTAACCACCCCTGGCCAAAACTCATTTTGTTACCTTCCTCTTCCTCCTCTTTCACTAGAATTAATTTTTCTGACCCTGAAAAGACAAAGAATGAGAAAGAGTCTGACATGCCCAAGGAGCAGCTTGGGAACAGGGGTTCCATTTAGTGCTCCCTGGAAGGAGAGATGGGACAATAAGACCACTGGTTTGTCCTGCCTGTAGCTGGGAGCTCCCAGACATCCTTTGCAATGATCCCAACGTGCCATGGTCAGGACTTGGCTGTTCTGCTCCACATGGTCAGTCTGGTGACAATCCCCAGAGCTGGGACACAGCCACCCCAGCAATGTCTTCACCTCCCTTACACCAGAGCCAGGGGTAAAAGTGCCCCCACTCCAGCCAAGGCAGGGTCTTGGGATGGTCCGGCTGGTCACAGGGCTGCTTTTTAAAGGCAAAGTGAATTACAAATCCCTGAGGAGTGTGTTAGGCAGTGGAGATCTGTGCCTACAGCACCCAGCTACAAGGAGTGCAACCCACCCAGACAACAGCTCCTGGTGGCCATGTCCAGTCTGAGGGCTCAAGCAAAGGCTGGGCACAGGGACATTCTGTGCCTGGCAGCACCAGAGAAGGAGCATGGCCAGAGCAGCCACACAGCTTTCCGGATCCTACAGCACCCTCTCATGGACACAGCTGGGCTGGGCAGTGCCTCCTGTCCCACAGGAGCTGGTGGCACCCTGAGTCCTGCCCCAAGGGCCTTGGCTGGACCTGGTTCTGAGATTTCCAAAGCACAGATGCTGTAAAGGGGGCCTCTGAGGGTCCCAGTGCACACTATTGAGGGATTCACAGGCTACAGACCTCATCCTGATACCTTCTAGCACTTTCAGCAGCAAAAGCAACACAGTTCCTTCTTGAGAGTCTTGTCTGACAGCTCACACACACAAAATCATCCCTCCAGAGCCAAAGAGCAGCACCTGGCCCAGGCACTGCCAGAGAGCAGGACAGCTGGGACTGACTGTCACCTTCTAAGGGGACAGGAGGTGGGCCATGCTAGACAGAGTGAGCTGGCCAAAACTCACCTGCCACAACCCTGCCCCTTGTAATGTTTAGAAACACCAACCCAGGCTGAGCCTATTTCCTACTGCTGCTTCCCAGACTGGGTCTCCCAGTCAAAATGTCAAACAACCTCAGGCAAGCATGGCAATCCTCTTCTGCATTATCCCCAAAGCCTCTTGGGATAACTTTGGGGCCAATTCCCTACACCCCAGGCCAGCAGTGTGCTCTTCCCACACAAGGGGGAGTTAGGAGAGCTGCTCTGCAGCTGCACCCAGGAGTGGAAGCCCTGCACGAGGCTCCTCTCACAGCAAACAGGAGATTTTTGCAAGTACCAAAAGCAATTAGACTCAGCAGCGACATTTATGGTGAGCATCTGCCAGCAATTCCACCTCTCCAAACAATCCCCACCCTCGGAAGCTGCAGGGAGGACAGAGCACAGGGCAGGCTGTTCATTAGGAGAATCCCTGTGGTACTTAGGAGCAAGGAATGATTCAGCCTCTGGATAAAGCCAGCCAGCCTCCACTGATGAGCTCTGGCCAGCCCACAGGAGCCTGGCTCTGCATGGAATACAGATCCCAACCTCCAAAGCAAAGGCTGCACAAAAGAAACCAGAGTTGAGCAATTTGTGCTCAGCGTGTTTTGCAGGGTTTCAGGCAGGGCACTGCGACACTCAAATGTCACTGCCATCAGAGGGAGAGCCCTCGGCTGGCAGGGGATCAAAGAGCCTCCATCCAGCAATCCCCTGTGCAGGATCCATGCCACCACACCCTGCTCCAGCCAGCTGCACTCGCAGTGAGGGGTGAGCACAGAGAATCCAATTAGCTGGAGGCTCAGGAAAATGCTACAGGAGGATACAGAGCCCAGCATGGCCTAAGGGAGCAGCATCCCAGCACCCAGCCAACATGGGAAGGAGGCTACTGGTGAGCACTCATTACATCCCTCCTCAAGAAAAGAACAGCATCCTTATGCACATTAAGCACTTCTATCATTGCAGCAAACACTTTAAAAGCTGTTTCTCTAGGAATAATTTGTTTGGTTTTTTTTTCCCTTTTTTTTTTGCTCAAGCCCTTAACAGAGAAAGGTTTGCCTCAAAAAGTACTTCTGCAGAATTAAGGTAATCTCTGCCATGCACATCCCCAACAGCCTTGAGGCTGCTTTCTATGTGGCAATTCCTTGGATCACAGCTTTAAAATTAACTGTCAGTGGAAAAAATGAACAGTGAGAAGAGAGAATAACATGAATGAGATGAACTGGGGTCTGCATTTTTAAATCAAGGCACCTGGTGATCCAGCCCTCTGCTACCAGACCATTTTGCAGGAAGGATTTCCCAAAACTAGGACAAAAGGGAATGCTGGCTTCAGAGAAACACCAAATACAGAAGGAAAAGCCAACAGATTTAGCAAAATAGTGTGAAGGGAGACATGGGTGCACACATTTTTGCCAAAGACCACTGGGGTTATGTGACACCTTAGCAGCTAAATGGATATCAAGGACTGGAAACTAAGTGAAAGACGGATATAAAGTACTGAAAAATAGAAACCAAGGGTGCTGGGTCCATGAGGGATTTTCACTCAGCAGCTCCCCTTGGGTCCAGAGCTGCCCACGGGGAATGTGGCAGCCACTTGTCCTGTGACAACACACCTGGACACACAGTGACCACAGCCCTGTGTGCACTGAGAGCCACTCTTGGTTTGTACACCCAATTGCAGAATGAGCTGTCAGGAGTAATTTTCAATCACAGCATCCAGCTGCCTATTTGAGGAGCCAAATTCCCTCAAAAACTAACATTTCCCTCCCAGCATCCTCCCCAGGGCAGGACCTGGCCCCAAGGACAGACTGTACCAGGACAGCAGACCTCAGACTCCAAGAAGTGCAGGGTTTTGGTGTGCTGCCACAAGCAGCAAAAGCAGGTTCTTACATTTGAAGAAAGCTGTAGAGAATAAAAATTCAATTCCAGCCAAAAATTTTACATGCCAGTTTTAGTGCCTGGAGGGACTAAATTCTTTTTTTCAAGCTTTAACTCACCATGAAGAATTACAAGGCCCATGTGCTAACAATCACAATCCAAAGGAATATAATGCTCAGTACCATCTCAGGAGGTTATGGGTCAGTCCTGTGGGGTCACACACAGCTCCAAGGGCACCACAACACACCAGCATTCCACAAACACATCAAGTCACCCACACACACCTCATTTGCCACGTGGACAAATGAGACACCAGAAAAAATTTATTTTGGGGAGAGAAGGAGAAGTCATAACCCCTTTCACCACATGGAACATGCTGGAACGTGTTTGTACCAACAAGGACAATGTGATTTGGTACAAAGATTTATTCCAGAGCAGCTGGCTTCTCTCCCTGGACAACAGCAACTTCTCCAGAGGGAAAACCAGATGTAAGTTAGAGACATGCATTCCTGAAATGATGTTTTGGAGTTACTGTACCTGTGCCACACCTGTGACAGTTATAGCTACCCCCTCCGCCGTCTCTACGTCCTCACACCTGGGCTGTAACGTCATTATCTCTAGGGAAATCCTGCCAAAAAACGTAAAATATTTGCACGTTTCCAGGTTACACACACTCAGCTCTTCCCTTTGCATCTCCTGCCCCGGGCTACCTGCTGCACTCATCACAGGTAATGCAAGGCAGGCACAGAATGCAGCCAAGGGACCACATCTGTGACTGGAGACAGACAGGGCATTGTGGCCAAGAAATAGATTCTCAGATAATGCTTAAAGGTAATTTATCAGCAAAGGCTGGAATCCAGACTGGAAATTACCCCGTGGCCCTTTCCCTCCTGCTGGGTTAGTGAGGAGCCAGAAGCTGCAGCATTGAGACCCCAAAGGGCCCTCTGTCAGAGGCTCATTGTGCCATGCTGCCCAATGCCATGGCAGCACGGGGTGGTGTCACTGGTTTGAAAGCACAGCACAGAACTGGGATCCTCCCACCCACCTCACATGAATGCTGGTGCTTGGCAGAACCTGACACTGATGCTGAAGAAGCCCTGGGTTAGCCCTACACACACCTACCCCCTGAGCTGGTTCACCTCTCTCTATTTTTCCAGTGTCCCGTGACCCAAAGATGAAAATGAGTCTCCAGCTCTTTATGGCTACACCTGAAGAGCATCAGGCACCCAGGAACAGACCCTGCAGCTCCAGAGCTGTCTCAGTCACCCCAGGTGGGCTCAAGGTACTTTGGTCAGTCCCAGCAATCTGCTGACAGGTCACAGTTTGGTAAAACAAGGGACGTCTTTGCCTGTGGCAGGTTCTAGGAAGTCAAGCCTGGCTCCTGTATCAGCCATAATGAGCCAGAAAGACATTGGGAGTCAGGACAAGGAGCCACGGGGCAGAGAGTTTGTGTCAGTGAACATCAGGTCAAACATCTGAACCATGAAGGGGCTGCCCTGGGCTGCTGTGTGCACGCTGAGTTGCTCCAGGATTGGCTGGAAGTGCTGAAACCTATCCCTGCAAGTTCTGCCTGCCTTGGCCACTGTCCTAATTAAACTGGCACGCAAACTGGGAGCTGATAAAACACATCCCACTGTCCAGGACATGCACAGGCATTTCTTGCCATGTGTTCACAGCTTTAATCAGATACTGCAGGATTTCAGCCTTCTGAAGGCCTAATCTAGACTTGGAATTTAATTTCCAAACTGTGCTGCTTCTTAGTTCTGCTCACTGGGATATTTAGTCATGACTGGTTCATAATGCCAGTCCTGTGTGCTGCAACTCATCTGAGGTCTCTGTGCTGTATTTTCAAAGGTGACAACATCCAAAATGGGCAGTGTCTCCATGTGGAGGAAGAAGGGCTGAGTGGGAATCCATAGCCAACACTGCAGAGCCAGCCACAGTTGCAATTTTGAAATGGCACAAAACCTGCCTTCCCACCTGTCCCAAATCCTGTACAGAATCCAACCTGGCCTGCCTGTGCCTCCACACAAAAATGTGCCTCCAGATGCCCTTCTGCTCTCCCCCAAGCCCCCAGCGGAGACAGTGCTGGCAAGGAAAGGGTTACAGCAGGAGCAAATGTTAGGTACAGCAATCTGAATTTGGAATTTGCCAGGAATGCACCTGCCTGCATTACCTATGAACTGTGGAGTGCCACAGGGCAAGTGCTGGAGAAGGGGAAGGAGAGTAGAGTATGGAGATTTCAGCTGTCCCACTAGAAAGCCATTAGTTTTTATGTTATCCTGCTGCTGCTGCTGCTGCTGAAACCAGAGGGATAAACAGTTAGACAGTGTGTTAGGAAGCTGGAGGATTATTACCTGTGCAACCCCTGTTACGTACAGGGGGACCCCCTCCGACGTCTCAACATTCTCGCAGCGACAGAGGATGGTCAAAACCTCCAAAGACACTCTGAGCAGGGAGGAGTAAGGGTGGGACAGCAAATACACAGAGCAGTTACCAGAGAGTAAGACACTCCTTGCAAAGGACAGACGAGACTTTCAGGTTTCAGCTTTTCCCTGGTCAGTTTGCCTTTCTCCCACTCCTAGGGCTCCATAATCAGTTTCCCTGGTCATGGGAGGGAGTTTACAGCATCCAGCAGTTCCTTTTAATGAGGATAAACAGGCTGGGGGCTTGTCCCCCCACCCTGCACATCAAACTGTTCCATCCTGGTGTCAGCTGGATGAAGATTACTTCAACATCTTTGCACACAGAAAAATTCCTTTTGGTAATAATTCAGATGCTTCTATGTCAGTATTTAAGAGAGGACAGATAAAGGAAAACACCAGGGACCTGGCTACCCACCCCTGGCTAAGGCACTGAGGAGAGAAGCTGCTTCCAAGTGCTGTCCTGGGAAGCTGAATTAACACCATTTGGCTTCCCCAGAGGCATATTAGACCACACTGTCTCTCTCACTGCTTTTATTTCTGACCCCTAAACAGGGACAGCATTTTTTCCCCTTGTTTTTCCCCAGTGCTCAAGGTTGCAGCAGGATAAGTGCCCAGCACCCTGCCAGTTCTAACTGTTCCTTTTGTTCCCAGGTTAATGCTACCTGGCGGGATGCCGCTGACAGCAACACAATTGCTCCTGTCTCTCTTGCTTGCAGCACTGGCAGTTCCAGAAAAAATGTCCTAATTTCAGAGAAGGAAATCTGTCTCACTCTTCATGTTAATGCAGCGGGCTCCATCTGGGGCACAGCTTATGGCAGGCAAGAAAGGAGAATTAAGCACCACATCCCACGGCATGAAGTGGTATGGATTTTAAAGCAGAAGGTTTGCTTGGATGCTGGAATTCCTGTCAAGAGCCCCATTTGCTAAATAATGCCCAGACCTCTATCACATAACAGCTTGTTCCTGGCAATCCAGTTCTTGGCCCTGGATTCAGCCTATCCTTAACTTAATAAATCAGCCTCCCAAATGTGTCTGATCTTGTGCACTGGGCAGGTCAAGGTCCTGCACTGCTTTTTGTGCTTCTCAGAAGAAGAGGAGAAGCAAGAACCGTTTGTTCAATTAACAGTTCTCCCAACAAGATGTCTCACAAAATTTGGAAGTGAAGCTTGTCTGGCTCAAACACAGCCCTTAAACACTGAGCCCACAAGCTGGGCTTTTCCTTCCTCTCCCACTTCCCATCATGTGCAGAGTGAGGGCAGCCACACGCTCACTTTGCTGGTGGCAACACAGGTACAGGGAAAAGAGGCTGGAAGAGGCTGTAAGGGTTAACTACAACCTCTAGCCATCACTCAGTGTAAAACTCAAAAATCACGTCTTTGTCCTTTTCCCTGCTATTTTTTTTTTCACAGACAGAGGAAACCTGTATCAGTGAGCATGAGAGATGCTTTGGGAGGGAGCATTCCTACAGATCCCAGAGACAAAGAGCTCTATTAGCAGGACAGCAGCACTACCACAGCATGTCAGCTCAGAGAGCAGACTGTAAGCAGCAGCAAGCAAAATCCATGGCTGAGGAAAGGGAGAGAAAGGAAATCCTGTGGTTTTAGATTGGAACAGTCTGCCCCCAAGGTGACAGCAGTCAGCAGGATCTTTACAGAGAGAGACTTGAGGAGCAGAGGGGGGCACTGGTGCACTGCAGGCCATGAACTGGTTTGTTACTGGGTGAGGGGTTGGGCCATACTGGGCAGAGCTTGGCTCCTCTTGTGGACATAGAGGCCGTTTGAAAAGCACTCCAGCTGAAAGCATGTGATTTCTCTTTTTGTGTGTGTCTTTTGCACTGTGGCACTCAGCTGTCCCCATGCCAACAGCCAGCAAAGAACTCCTGATGCTCATCCCTGGTTTCATACAGTGCCTAATCCAGTGCTCCTAAAAATACTGCTGACAGCCCCACTGGGACGATTTTGCCAAATTCCCACTCTAAAAGCCCACAAATAAGAGGGGTCTCCTTACCTTTGGGTGTCAGTAATGCACCACCAAGCCCAGGCCCAGCCTCCATACACATATTGCTTCTCATCAGAGCCACAGCAGCCACCTGCAGCACAGCAGAGAGCACAGAGACATCAGGATTACACACAAGCACGTGCTCTTGGACAGGGAATAACTTACAAGATGAGGAGTTCCTACTCTTCCTCCTCTCCATAAGCTTCACATGTTTTCCCAAGGCAAAATTTTGGATTGGGAATTTTTTGGAATTGTCTTATGAAGTTGGAAACTAGTATTTGTATAATTCACTATGACCAACAGTAACACACAGAAAGGGACTGTATGTCAAACCAGGGCTTTATTTTAGTTTTGTTAAGCCCTTTTAGCAACCAGAATCAATATCAGTATCTTCAACTGTGATGTTAATTGCTTTGGAAAGCTACATATGAAATCCACCTCCTTTCCCTCACACCATCCTTAAATTCCCACAGAAGCTCTCAAGTCAGCATTGGAAAACAGAACAACCTTTGAGCTCCCAAAAAATACCTCCTAATTCTGGCTTGTGCAAGTAGCACAGTGTCTGATGGTTTGATGGTCCATCTCAGAGCTGGATGTGCCCAAGGTTCAGGCAGCCTCCAGAACCCTTCTGACACATTTAAGATTTGATCCCAGTGAAGCTGGAAGATGCTGTCTGGATTTTCATGTCTTTGATTTAAAGAACAAGACACCTGCTGCCTTTCAAGAGAGCACCCTGGCAGTGATCAGATTCATGGCTGGGAAGGGAGGAACTCTGCAGCTCCCCGGCTCAGACCAGGGCTGGGAGCTGCTGACTCTCAGGCAGATGGAGCCAGAATTCCCTCTCTCAGCTGCTCTCCATAATCACTCCTACTACAGCAGTGCCCGAGGGCCTCAGCAAGGCCAGTGCTGTACAAACAGAGCAGCAGACAGTTCCAGCCCTGCGGGACAGATCTCTGCTGGCAAGACAGAGCCGCCGCAGAGGAAGAGCAGGAACGCAGAAAACAGAGTGGCTCTGGGAGCTTTGGATTGTGGGAGGGGAAAGGGACAAGGAAGAAGCCAGCAGCCCTTTCAAGAGGAACGACCAGTATTGTTTGCACAGGTCAAAATGAAGAGCAGAAGCAGCACACATCTAGGCCAGCGTGCCTGCAGGGCCCTCCGACTGCAGGAGGGGACTGTGTCCTCCTTGTTCTCCTCCTCTTCTTGCTCCTCCTCTTGCTCCAGTTCCCTGTCATTTAGCCATCTTCCGCCTACTTCCAAACACTGTCTGCTTCCAGACACTGGCCACACACTGCCTGCTTTGCTGGCTTCCATGCAGTGTTTGACAAACCAGCAGATCTGCCCCATCTACAATTCTTCACCCTTGAATTTCAGTAAGAATTAAACACAAATAGGAAAAGGCTTTACACACTTTTTCAGATCTCCTGTGCTGCACAGCCTAGAGGAACATTCTCCTGTCACCTCTGAGCCAGCCTTTGGATAGCTTTTTCCTGTAGCTGGAAGGTTATTTCAGCCAGGCAAGCGTTACAGAAGCTGATGATACAACATCCTGCAGTAACCACAATGCCTTTAACATTTCTTGGAGGGCGTCAGCCTGGTTAGCTCAGCCTTTCAGCCAGGCCCTTGTTTTCCAAGAACAGGAAGGGAGGTGTTCCTGGCACTCAGGAAAAGCAGCACCACATGGAAAGGTATTTTATTTCCCAGGGTCTATGTGGTCTTTACTGAACCTCTGTTAATTTTTTTCTCAATAATATCCTGAGAAAGCTCTGCACCCTAAACCCACCATTGTTACAGGAAAGTGCCTCTCCACACAGATGTTCCTCTTCTTCTGTAGGAAATGCAAGGAAACACCTTATTTAGTATCACACACAAAATGAGCTCCACATTTGCTTCCCGGTGCTACACAACACAGCTGCAGAGCATGGTCTACTGAGCTAGATTATATGTCAAAAACTGTTCAAAGCCTAAAAAAAACCAGGGAAAACTAACACATTAAGGAGGAGTGGGATGCCAGCCAGCTGCTTTCACGCATGCTGGACGTCTGAGCGCAGCAGAGCTCCGTCCTGGCAAGGCTGAGGAGCTGAGGGTTCATTTTCCATGGCAGTCCTGCCGCCTCTTTCTCAATTCTCAGGCAGCAAGTGAAAAAGGAACCAACAAAGCAAAATCTTTGCAAGGCTAAAGAATAAACCCTCTTGCACAATGAGATTTGGCAGAGAAATTGCCTTTCCCAGCTATAATACGCCCACTGTTCCAGCAGACTGGGTCTCACAGTGGCTTCCACAAACATCCACCGTGCCTCTTCCGGGGCAGTGTGCAGGGCCACAAATGGAGGATTCATAGCCAGGGAGCTGCCAGCCAGCTTGGCCTCTTCCCAGTGAAGGGCTCCCATGTTCAAGCAAGAATTCCCAGAGCCAGGAGAAAGCACGTTGTCTGTTTGTTTGGGGTTTTTTTATTATGAAATAAGATTAATCGCTTGGGGGTTGGTACATAAAAGGAGCTCTCAGCAGATGCAGGAAGTGAGCAAGGAAGAACATGAGCCTCAACAGTTTTAGGGACACAGAGCTCAAAACATCAAAGCTGGGATGATCTGAACAAGCTCTGTGTTGTTTGCTCTCCCAGGTAACTCGGGCACTGAGTTACCTCTCTGGCAGGAAGTGGTGAGCTTTCCAAAATCAGGTCATGGTAAACAGGCTGCTGAGTGCAGACAGACCAGGAAAAAGTTGGTAATTGAAAACAGTTACTGACAAAAGACAATGCAGAGATAGAGGAAGGCAAAAGCATACATAAAGAAAATCACACCCTAAAGCAGGGCCCAGACTAAAGTCAGTGTGTGGTTCTTAGGCCTCGCAGTGTGTACAAATTAGGATTTGTTCACATACAGAAATGGTACAAGGTTAACAAAAATTAATGTAAAAAGATGCAAGGTTGTGAGGTGAATCCATAAAAGACTCTGATGGTCACTGCAGCAGATGAAAGCAGATTACATTGGCTATCTTGTTCTGGATGTAATTTATATGAAAATGACTTAATGAGTAACAATGCTATAGAGTGAGTTTAAAAACACATTTAATAACTCATAAACAGCAACTCAGAGAAGACAAACAACAATGAAGCTACCCAACAAAATCACTGAGGTACTACCCCAAAATTCCTTTTGGAAACCAAAAGGAAAGGTCTGAGGCTATTGTGCACCTCCTCCTAACAGGCTTTCCAAAGAGTAGTTTGCAAGTCCTGCAGATTTAAGGGTAAGGGCCCTTCTGAGTGCTCCTGACTTGAGACCAGCTGCAACGCTGCACTCAGCAACCCCTGAGCATCACAAGGAGTGAGAAACCAAGAGTGAGGAAACAGTTTTGACTTGCCAAAATGACAAACCAAAATCTGCAGGAGCACTCAGTTAAACCTGGCAGATGACCACCAGTGCCACTGCAAGCTTCCTGCATGGCTTGCCTGGTGCAAGAGGTGGAACACCCCAACCACAACCCTGCAAAACAGTTTGAATTGAATTAACTGTATGAACATAGGGCAAAACCTCCTGAGACACAGCTGAAGCTGCCTGCTCCTTCCCACAAGTTCCTATTTCTTTTGAGGCTGAAAAACTGGAATTACACCATCAGTGTGAGGGTTCAGGTGGCTCTTGCTGCCCACCACATCTTTCCACAGGACATGGCCTGGACCTTCTTGTTCCATTTTCATGCAACAGACTCTTCTCATCTAAATGTAACTTCTACATTTCTCCTTCCAGAACTGCACTGGGTTTTGTTCAGCCCATTGGGTCAATTTCTAGAGTTTGTTTTGATCCTGATCCAGCTCTTCAAAGCTCTCGAACCCATTCCCAGCTCAGTCTGCAAATTCAATAAGCACATACTCAATTCCATTATCCAAGCCAAAACAAGGAACTTACTTGATAAATTCTTTCAGCTGAACAGTGAGTTACTGTCAAGTTTCCTGGCAATGGTCTTCCAGGCAGTTTCATATTAATTTCATAATATCTGAGAAACCAGTTCCTTCTTGCACCGTGGACTTACGTAGGTCTCTTACAGGAAGGGCTTCAAGAACCTCAACAAATCTTTATTTCAGGCTTTCAACTTAGAAAAGTAACATGAAAATAGCACATGAGAAGTTCTTGAAGGGGTAAGAGGGATGCAGTAACAGGATGGAAGAGCTTAGAGCAGCCCTGGAAGGGTTACACACCCCTGACTGCTGCCATGCAGCAGGAAATGTCTACACAAGACTAGAATTAACTCTTCTTTTACTTTGACAGACATAAAGGAGCCCCAAAGGGTGTTGCACCAAACTGAAATCTGAGAACCTGGGCTGGAGCATATTTCTCAAGCTGATTTCTGCTCACCTGAGGAGGAACCAGATTAGCTGAACATGGCAAATACCTCTACTTGTCTTCTTGTAGGTGTTACAAGCAACATGCTTGTCTCAGTAGTCTCCTAGGAGATAAAGTTGGCTTGGCTGGGTTGCACTCCCCTGATTTTTTTCCTCCTTTCACTCCCTAAACTTTTGCTGAAGTAGCAGTTTGTTCTGACACAGGAACAGGGAGGGCTGTGCCCATTTCCCCTGTCACACATTTCCAGGTGTTCCCCTCAGAGCTCCTCTGCTGCAGCCCTTGCCAGCCAGAAGGAAAATGCTTCAGCTGTAGAGATTTAGGCAACACTGTTTGGTAACTGTTAGATGAATATGGCCACTGTAAATACAGATTTCATTATTGTGGCACTGTGGAAATATTATAGCGCTGCATTTAAAATCAGCAGGTCGACCCGTAGCCACAAAAGCTGCATTTAACCAGACTGTAACCCAAACCCAGCATTTCACAGCCTTTGGGTGGTGGGAACATTCAGATATGGGGATGAACAGGTACTTTGTGTACCTCCCTGAAAACTCCACCAGCTCCAGTTGTGCTCAGTGATGCGCCAGGCTCCTGCCAAAGCCTCCTCAGTCCGTGCACCAAGGGAGTCTCCCAGAAAAGTCAGACACACAATTTGGGGAGAATCAAGGCTCTTCCTTGGGCTCCACAATTCACTGACGGATCGATCAGCAGTGCAGTTTCTTAGAAGGAGGCCGGTGCTGCTCAGCAGGGGAAGGACAGCAGTGCCTGAGCTGTGCCTGGGAAGCAGCTTCCCAAATAAGGCTGCAAAGCTCCACGTTCCCAAGGCACAGCTGGCTGCTTCTTGAGCACTGGAGGAACTCAAGTGTCTCACAAGAAAGTGAAAAGAAAGAACAACCCTCCTCAGAAAAACCCACATGCCAGGGGAGGCCCAGGACTAAAGGCCAAGGGGCACAGGCTGAGTAAAGAAAATAAAGAAAACCCTCCCACCAAGTGAAATATCTTTCAAATAACTACCACATGACAATTCAAGACTGCATGCCAAAAGCCTGCCTCTAATAATATTTGGTTTATTTAAATTAATTAAACTAAAATTTATTTAACATTATTTTGGCTTATTAGTAATTATTAGTTTCTCCTTCCCTTCCCCTCTCTCCCTAAATTCTTAAACTTAGTATCACACAAATTAATGCTGGCCCACGAGGTCCTCCCTGCTTTTCCCAGGAAAAAAGTGGCTCAAGTTCCTGGAATTTCAATGGCTTGTAGCTACAAGCTCTCACTGATGCACAGAGGAGCTGCAGGGCCAGCAGAGCTCCCAGTGGGTGCCCTCAGGATTCAGCAAGGATCTGCAGACTATTGGGCAGCAGCTGAGGAAAACCAGCCTGGTGGCAGCTCCAAACCCCATCCCAGCTGGCAGAACCCGGGGTGATCTCTGCTCCCTTCCCAAAAAAACAGCTGCACTTCCAGGAGTGCCCTGGGCTCACCACTCCTGGCTGTGGAAAAGCACCACGCCTGGAACTGCAAGCACATGCCACAAATTCCTGCTGGCTCATCCTGGAAGCTGTGTTTGGTAAACTCCAGAGCTGAGCAGAGGCAAACCCAAGCTTTGAGAGTAAAGGGCATCCCTTTAGTGCTCAAAAAGCTCCAAAGCACACCTGGAGCACAGCTTCTCAACCTTCCCATGAATGTGGCATTTCACCAAGCAGCGCCAGTTTTGACAGGGTTCCCTTTGGCGGGAAGCACAGCATCAGCTTTGGATCCCACTGGGAACTGCAGACCAGGATTTGCAAGGAATACTGCTGCTCTGGGCAGCTGCTGGGTGGGGTTTGTAACTGCTTAGAAGCCAGCAGCAGAGTGGGTATATTTGTTTCCAGAACTGCAGCCTGCTTCTGGCATCTCCTCAAGAATTCCCGTAACAGGTCTGTCATCCAAGAGAGATGAACTGATAACAGACCAACCACAGCCTGCTGGAGGCTTTGGCTCCAAAACCACAATAACATAGTTGCAAGCATGGCAGAGCTGTGACTTGAGGCACAGCCTTGATGTTCACATGCATTTTCTACCGGTGCCCATTACCTTGCAGCTGGCCTCAGTCTGTCAAAGAGTGAAGCTCCCAGCCCTCGCATCACCTAACAATAATTAATTCACCTAATAATAATAATAATGAATTAATTATAATCCTGTCCACGCCAAAGTGCAGCCTGGAGCTTCAGCAGCACTGAAGCAGCTACAGGTTGGATCAGACATGGGGGATTTCACTGCTGGTTTGTTTAACCCTAGCTCAGTCACCTCAGTCAGCTGCTGGTGACATTCCACATGTCCAGTGGGCATCACCTGCATCCAGTGCCAGCACCACTGAGAGTCAGGTGAAGTGCTGGTGAGGAAGCTGCAGCGGGATGTGATGGATGAAGATGGGCACTGCAGGGACACCCTGCAGCGCTCTGCCCCGGGGGGATGCTCACCCCCAGCTCCCCTTCCCTGGCCAATCCAGCCTGTCCCCAGGAACAGGATGGCTTCCTGGCAATGCCACCTGGCAGCCTGTCTGAGCTCTGCTGGTGCCAGTGCCTGACATCACCTGGAATCAGCAGCATCCGAGGTGCTGCTGCTGTGGCCGGACCCCACCCCGGAGCCTCAGCTCCATTACAGCATCTCCCACCTCCCTGTCTGTTCCCAAATCACTCAGGGCCTCTCTATGACAGGGATCCCTCCTAGAACCCCTCAGAGTGCCCTCACAGCCAGGACCCCCCAAATCCCCCCTCCTTGCACAGCCCACCACAGAGAACCCCAACTCCCATGGCTCTCTCCATGACACTGTCCCCCTGACAGGGACTCCCCTGAGGGTCCCCTCACAGCCAGGACCCCCCGATTTCCCTCTCCCATGGGCTCCATCACAGAGTTCCCCCCAGTGATCGAGACCCCTCAAATCGCTGAGAGCCCCCTCTCATCCAGGACCCCCAAAGCCCCCTCCTGGCACACCGCATTAGAGACCCCCCCAGTCCCTCAGGATCCTCCCATGACAGGGACCACTCAAACCCCTGGCAGTCCCCTCACAGCCAAGACCCCCAGCTCGCTCAGGGTGCCCTGCATGTCACCCCACAGTACCTGACACCACCAGCGCCTCGTTGGGCCCCACCGTGTGGCAGTTCCCCATGACGGCCCCGCCGCCGACCGCCCCCACAATCCCCCGCGCCTCGCACGGCGGGGGCGCGGCCCGCGGGCGCCGCCATCTTGGGGAGGTCGGTGCCACACCCCAGGGGCGGGGCCGGGCCGGGCGCGCCGCCATGTTGGGCGCCGCGTGCGCGGGGGGGTAACATGGGGGTCGTGCGCATGCGCGGTGTGCAAGGGAGGGAGGTGAGCGTGCCAGGGGCCGAGTGTGACACTGCGGGGGTGTGCGAGGGATGGGTGTGCGAGGGATGGGTGTGCGAGGCTGCGGGGGTGTGCGAGGGATGGGTGTGTGACACTGCGGGGGTGTGCGAGGGATGGGTGTGTGTGACACCGCATGGGTGTGACACCGCATGGGTGTGCAATGGGTGCGAGGGTTGGGGGTGTGGCACTGCGGGGTGTGCGAGGGATGGGGGTGCAACACTGCCGGGGTGTGCGAGGGATGGGTGTGTGTGACACCACATGGGTGTGTGTGACACCGCATGGGTGTGACACCGCATGGGTGTGCAAGGCAGGGTGTGCCCTGCAGTGTGTGTGCAGAGCCAGGTGTGCCGCTCTGCACACCCCACCCCCTTGCACACTCACTCACCGTCACCCTGCCAGCTCTGCTGCGCGCTCAGGCCGCGCCGGGCCTGCAAGGACCGCTGCCCCGGCCTCCCCCCATCCCACGCCCACAGAGCACCCCGCGCTCCCTCATCACCTCCACCACCTTTATTGCGCCGTGCCAGCAGCAGGGCCCTCCCCGCCGTGTCCCCCGCCGTGTCCCCCGGCCGCCCCCAGCCCCACCAGGCGCTCGCTGCCGTCCCACAGCGCCCGTGCCAGGCGGTCGTCGCGGCCCGCTGCCCACGGCGCCCGGGGCCCGCGCTGGGTGAAGTAGCGGCCGCTGAGGGGCTCGAGGCCGGGCCGCGTGGCGCAGGCCAGCACCGCCCGCGCGCCCTCGGCCGCCTCCAGGAACAGCAGCCAGGCCAGCGGCAGCAGCAGCGGCTTCAGCCACGGCGGAGCGTGCCGGAACAGAGAAGTGTTGACGAAACCTGTGGGAGATCGGCACGTGTGGGGTGCGTCCCCCTGTGTGCGTCCCAGTGGATGGGCAGGGGGTGTAGCTATGATATTTTATGAAAAATGCTTTGCTAGGATTTTTTTCTCCTGAGGAGCCTCAGGAAAGAAATGTAAGCAATAACTCTCTGCTGCTGTGGGATGCAGCAGGTGCAGCTGTGATTGGGGCATGTTGGTTGTTTCTAATAAATGGCCAATCGCAGTCAGCTGGCTCGGACTCTCTGGGACTCACGAGCCTTTGTTATCATTCCATTCCTGTTCTTTCTAGCCTTCTGATGGATCCTTTTCTCTCTATTCTTTATAGTATAGTTTCAATATAGCATTTTAATATAATATATATAATAATATAATAAATCAGCCTTCTGAAACATGGAGTTAAGATTCTTGTCTCCTCACACAAAGCCTCAACCATAAGGGTGGCCTTGGCATGGGCAGCATGGCGGTGATTGTCCCCATGCTTGTCCTGGCTGTGCGAGGCTGGGGTGTGTGGGTGTGTCCCAGGCGAGGGCAGGTGCAAAGTGAAGGGAGAAGAGGAAAAAAAGGAAAGAGGGGAAAGGAACATGCAAAGGGACACATGAAAAAGGACACGCTGTGCAAACAGATGTGTTGTGCAAAGGGACACTAAAGGGAACACGCTGTGTCAAGGAACAGAGCGCAAGGGGACAAGGTCCAAAGGGACATGCCAGGATAAGGGACATGCCATGAAGAGACACTGTGCACGGGCCACACCGTGCAAGGGAGAGACGCTCCCCATGCAGGAATTCCCTGTGGAAAGGCCGCAAAGCAGGCCACCGCCCCCACAGAGGGACCCCAGGGACACAAAGGTGTGCAGATCACGGACCCCAGGCGTGAGCTGGCTCCTACCTGGGTGCACGGCGTAGCAGGTGACCTGTGTGCCCTGCTCGCGCGTGGCCAGCTCGCGGGCGTGCAGCACGTTGGCCAGCTTGCTGTCACAGTAGTCCTGGAAGGCGGAGAAGAGCCCCGGGGGCGGCCGGCCCAGGCGCTCGGGGCGCAGGCGGCCGGCGCAGTGGGCGCTGGAGGCCACGATGACCACCCGGCTGGGAGCGCAGCTCCGCAGCCGCTCCAGCAGCAGCTGGGTCAGCAGGAAGTGGCCCAGGTGGTTCACCTGGAACGCCAGGCTGAAGCCATCCTCCGTCGTGCCGCCGGCGCTCACCCCTGCGGAGTGAGGAGGCAGTGGCAGCCTGTGGTGCTGCCCCGGGGGTGCTCAGGGGGTTTGGGGTCCCGGCACTCACTCACCCGCGTTGTTGATGAGGAGGTGCAGCTGGGGCTCCTGGCGCAGGAAGGTGCTGGCAAAGGCTCTCACTGAGCGCAGGCTGGCCAGGTCCAGGTGCATGAACAGCACCTCGTTGTTCCCTGTCTCCTGTGGGCACAGCAGCGGCTGGGGCAGGGCCAGGGGCCGAACCGGGACTGTGCCCTGCCCTGGGTGGGGGCCAGAGCTGGCCAGGGGCAGGGGGATGCCCTGGGGGCTGGATCTGGCCCAAGGGCTACAGTGTGCTGGGACCCCCAGCGTGGGAGGCTGCAGAGGTACAGTGTGCCCCACCTTGGAGGATCTCGGGGTGCCTGGGATGTGCTGTGGGGGTGTAGAGGGGTTATTCCTGGGGTTTGCCATGGGGTACCTGTATGTACCCGTGGAGGGGGTTTGGGGGTTAATCATGTGATGCTTAGAGATGTCCTGTTGTGTGTCTTGGATGGTGTGCTGGGGGTGCCCAGGGATGTCCTGGGGGACTCTTATGGGCATCCCTGCGCTGCTGAGGGATGCCACGGCAGTGTCCTCAGGGACATGGAGTAGCTGGGGGTGTTCATGTGACATCCATGGATGCCTCACGGAGGGTATCCCGGGAGCGAACTGGACTCGCCCGCTGGGTGCCAGGGGTACCCTGGAGGTGCCAAAGGGCTCGGGGACGTCCCGTGTGCGGGAATGCCGGGGGTTCCCGGGGGTGCCGGCGCTCACCCTGCGGATGCGGCTGGCGGCGGCCTCTCCGCGCCGCGCGCTGCGGGTCGCCAGGATAACGCGGGCCCCGCACCGGGCGAGCTCCAGCGCCGTGGCCGCGCCGATGCCGCTGCTTCCCCCTGCGGAGCGGAGCGCGGGGCTGAGCGGGGGCAGGGGCCGCAGCGGGGCCCGGGGCGGCTCCCCGCCGCTCGCTCACCGGTGACGATGGCGGTGCGGCCGCGCAGCTCGGGGCGGCCGCGGGGCCGCGGAGCGCCGCGCAGCCCGTGCCGGAGCAGCGTGTAGAGCGCCAGCAGCAGCCCCACGAGCAGCAGCGCCCACCCCATCCCGCCGCCGTTCCGGGCAGCCCCGCCCCGCCCCGCTCCCGCCTCCCCGCCCCGGCGGGACGGAGCGAAGGGCGGACGGGGCGAGGTCTGAGCGGCGCCGGGCGGAGGGAGAGCTGGATTCGTGGCGCCGCTGGAGAGAGGGTGAGTGCGGGCCAGCGCTGCCCCCCAGCAATAGCCCGGGAGAACGGCCCTGCCCCGGGCGGTGGGAGGGAGGTCACAGAACCTCGGGATGGTTCCGGTGGGAAGAGAGCAGCGGAGGTCATCTAGTCCAGCCCCCCTACCCAGCAGCGTCCTCCAGAGCACTGAGAAGTGTGTCTGGACAGCTGAATATCTCCAGGGGTAGGCAGTCTGCCACCTTTTGGGGCAGCCTGTTCCAGGGCATGGTAAAGGTCTTCCTCATGTTCAGGTGTAACTTCCCTTGCTCTATTTCTGCCCTTGCCTCTCCTATTGCTCAGCAGCCCTGATAAGAGCCTGGCTCCATCCCATCCGCTGACACATCCCCTTCACATCGATGTATTTGAGAATAAGATCTCCTTAGCCTGCTTTTCTGCAGGCTAAACAGGCCCAGCTCCCTCAGCTTTCCCTCATAAATGAGGTGTGCCAGTCCCTGATCTTCGAGGACACTTCCAGGCTATGTCTCTCCTGTCCTGAGGAGCTCAGAACTGGAAACACTTGAGGTGAGGTTGGACCACAATGAGTTGAAGCTGTCCCAGCAGATTGCAGGGGTTGGACTTGATGACCTTCAATAGTTCCTTGTACCTCAACCAATTCCGTGATTCCATCATCTTCCAGTCCTCACCCTCTTCCCACATCCCAGGCAGGACACCAGGGTCCTTCCATCCCACCCCAGCCTTGACTCCCAGCTCAGGCTCCTCTGCAGTCAGACACTCTGGGGAAGCTCCAGGTTGTGGTGACACGAGTGAAGACAGACAATCGAGAAAACAGAATGTGAAGTATTTTTTTTTTATATACAGAATACAGGAAAGTTTCTGTAAAGTCTAAAACGTTACAATTACTATGTACAGTGGAACTAGCTGTTCTGCTGCGGGGAGGTGGCAGAGAAACAAAAGAGACAGACAGGTTACGACAAAGGATCTGCTACAATAGACAATTTGAGGAACGTCATACCACATGTAGCACTGTACACAGCTTTAAAACATTGAAAAATGCCATCACTGATGTATTTACACAGAATCCAACACTTTTCCTTATCTGAAATAAAAAATAGGATGGACACCAGGAAAAGAACTCATTTCTCACTGCCCATAATACACAGTAGCTACTTGTAGTGCAACCATAGCAGGGAGGGATGGGAAAAATAACTGTGGGAAGAAGAGCGCTTCTTTACATTAAATAAAACAATGATATTGTATAGATTTGCTGTATGAAAACTGTATTTCTCTTTTAATATAAAACTATTGTCACTGGCACAAAATAGAACAAGTTTCTGATTATTTTACAACTGCATGGGAACTATCTGTCAGAGAGAGTCCTCGAGTCAGACAGCGGTCACCCCTCGCTCTGACGCGTCCTGCTCTCACTGCAGTTTTCCTTTTAAAATGAAATGTATAGTACAAATATATGTGCAAATGCCCCTAAAACTTGAGCAAAAAAGAAAAATTAAAAAAAGTTAAACGTTCTTCATTTCATGCAAACGGCGTGTGAACAGTCTCTGGGCCGACACAGAAAAATCCCACCTCGGTTTGTACATTTTTGCATTGTAAAGAGTCTGAGGGCGTTTTTCCTTACTCCAAAAAGCTCTCTTCCTAAAAATTCCTAGGGAACTGAGTTGGACCGCAGCACCGGCACCTGGTGGGGTTTCAGAGAAAGCTTCTCCTCCAAGTCCATGTCTTGTACTAAGGCAGTGTCCCCCTTGGGCTGTTTGGTCGCAAATTCGGTGATGCTGAAAACGAACTGCAGGCAGCCCAGCTTGATGTAACTGCCGTGGTGGAGCAGGGCCGTGCCCTCCCAGCCAGCCCCGCTGCCCCCGATCAAACTGGAGCTGCTGGCTTTGCAGTTACAGGGTTTTCGATGCTGCCCTTGTGCCTGTGAATTCATCACAGCAGCTTCTTCATGCGCCTCCTCTTCCTGTTTTCTGCTTTTATGTCGTTCTGGAAAAGAATAAAAAAAAAATGGTAAGGTTTGGGTAGGTCAGCAGCAGCTTGTTTTCATCAGCAGGGGTTACTGCTGAGGTGTCTCATGGGTAAGATCCTGCAGCCAGGAGGGATTTCAGTCTGCAGTGAGCAGCTGATCAAAGGGAAACGGGAATCTCCTCACAGCCCTGGAGAGGTTGAGGCATTTACATATCTATTTTGGCAGCCCAGAAGGAGGAAGCTGATCAGGTGAAGAGCAGGAGTGAGACACGCAGGGACAGAATGCCTGCAGCACAGCCCAGATCTTCTCACAGCCTGGGAAGGGAGGACATGCATGGGGAAATGCCTCAGGCCTGCTCCAAACTGGCTGCTCATCTGGACCTGGAGCTTGGTAACTCCTGCCCTGGAGGCTGGAGTAGGGTTTAGGTCAGGGCACAGAGCTCCCCAGGCTGCAGAGGAAGGTCTTGTGTAACCCCAGCTGAGGGCTGTGGCAAGGCTCCCCTTTCTGCAAGGGGTGCACCAGCCTGTGCAGAACAAGGGGCACCAACAAGGAACTGGTTTCCACCTGCTCCTGCCCCCTCTCAATTAACTCCCTGTGGTGGTGGTGGCACAACACTCACTTATCACACTCTGCACTTTGGCAACAATACTGCTGGGAGGAGTGGGTGTCATCTTCTCCGAGAAGTCACACGAATACAGAACATTGTCCACGGTTGTCCCATGCTCACTGTAGTTCAACAGCTCGTAATGCTTTGTATTCTGGAAAGAAAGGGAACAGGAGGGAATCAAGACATCAGGTCACAGAATGGTTTGGGTTGGAAGGGACCTCAAAGACCATCTTGTTTCAGCCCCATGCCATGGGAAGGGACACCTTCCACTAGAGCAGGTTGCTCCAAGCCCCATCCAAGCTGGCCTTGGACACTGGTTTGGGGCAGCCACAGCTTCTCTGAGCAACCTGTGCCAGGGCCTCACCAGCCTCACAGGGAAACATTTCTTCCTAATATCCAATCTAACTCCCACTCTGTCAGTCAGAAGTCTGCCCATACAACCTCTTTGGAGCACTGAAACACAACCCCTTCTTCTTGTTGCCAGTAGTGGTCACATAAGAGGTGGTAAATATCCTGCAGCTTCAGAGACCACCAACCTGATCCCACTGCTCACAGAACCACCAGCCTTCCTGCAGGAGCTGCTTTCTGGCAGAGAAGGAGGGCCAAAGCAAAGTGGGTTTTACCTACTGCACTTGAACCAACACATCTTTTGGGAACAGGATATTCAAGCTGATGCTCACAAAAGAGAGCATTTTACAGGCGCACCTGATGCAAACTTGGCTTGAGACCTGTGCCTAGCAGGAAAAGATGAGCTTTGGAAAGCAGGCACAAGATGGCAAGAGGGATGCCACGTGCTGCAGCAGCCTCAGGACAGAGGCAGTCTGGGATTCATGGGCCTTGTGCAGGCTGAAATGCCAGCAGACATTACCGTGAATGCAGCGTTACACAAGCGGCATCACGCTCAGCTGAGCTTTGTGGAGGATAGTCTGGGATTCATGGGCCTTGTGCAGGCTGAAATGCCAGCAGACATTACCGTGACATGCAGCGTTACACAAGCAGCACGCTCAGCTGAGCTTTGTGGAGGACGTTGACAGAGCAGAGAAGATTTCAGGTTAGCTCACAGAAATCATCTGAGAGCTCAAGAACCTCGTCCCTCAGGGACTACAAGGCTTTAATCAAGTTATAAAAACTCCATGTTCAAAACAGAGTAGGTTTTGAAGTAACCTGCTAGACTGCAGAAGGAGAACCTGCAGAGAGAGCTGCAGGAAGGGGAATTCTCCCTCTCCAGAGTGACCACAGGCACAGGAGGGTCAAAGGTCAGTGCCTGGAGCCTGATTTATGACTGACCACTGTGAGGAGATGCTTCCACACACATTTATGGTCAGGATCCCATTACTGAGTGTGTTTGGAAGCTTGCAGGGCACTGGAGGAATGGCCAAAGGTGGCTGTGGGTTAATCCTGGATCCTGCTCTGGAGCTGGTTGACAAATGGTGACATAAAAGACTCGATCTTGCTTCAAAGACTGTTTCCATGCTAAGAGACATCTCCAGCAGTGCTGTTACTGGCAGGCCTGCTGGTCTGTTTACTTCAAGAACAAACTAATCTCTGGGCTGTAGCTAAGTAGAAACTGTAGGTTTCTGTTTATGCTGTGAGCTTAACTGAAGTTTTAGCTAAATAAATAATTTATAGAGAACTGCAGATGCTATGAATGCTTTGCTCCCCCATCACACTTGAAAACAAGGGACTCAGAGCAGTTCCCTGGTTTGCTCCAGCTGAGGTTTGATGTTGACACATGAAGTTTAGCTTTTATTAACAACATTCAGATCAAGAAGTATCAGATCACGTCTATGTCCTTTTCTTTCCCTAGACACCAGCAGTGACAGTGCTGACATGTGGCTAGTCCTTGCCCACAGGCAGTCAGAGAAATCATGCTGGCAGAGCTCTGTGCTTCAGAAAAGGGTTTGACAGAAAATGCTGACACAGCCTCCACTGGAGTAAAACCCAGCTCTTACTTTGTAGTCCAAAAAAGGAGCACCACACAAAGACAACCTGCTGCCTGCATCTCCAGCTCCTACTGCCATGCACACCAAAAAATAAAAATAATGAAAAAAAAAAAAAAAAGATCACTCAGGCACTCACCTCATCATAGAATATGCAGGCATGTTTGCCAGACACATAGTTACAGTGACCATAGCTTGTAAGGCACACATCCATATCAGCTCCTGTCATGGGGGAGGACAAAACAGGCTCAGTTCATATTGGAAAAAACCCCCAAACTGTCAGCAGCAGAGAACAACAGACAGAATTAAACTTCAATTAGCAAAACAACAGGGGAGCAACTGCTTTTGTCCTGCTCCCAGGACTGCATGAATAATGCT